CACTAATTACCTGGAATATAACTGATTTCCATGTTCTTAAAATAACTCATTCATATTCTTAAAAGAGCTAACAAATGATGATTGATCTTCTCCACAGATAGAGTCAAAAAAAAGCAAAGAAGCACGGGACCCGTAGGTGTAGAGGCTGATTCTGGTCACATCCCTGGGAAAGAGGGGTGCTGGCTGCCTTCGGACGGGGTCACAGAGCAGAATGCCTCCAGGCCGCCACGCAGCTCCAACACACGCAGACACACACATACATACACACACACACATACACACACACTTCCCTGCAGATGATCCTCAATATATAATGGCCAGTGGGTTTTTGCTGGTGGAACATAGGGCTTCCAAAATTACTCGCAACATCCAATTATGCTCGGGACTCGGAGGGGCGGATACCCTGTGTTCTGTTTAATGTGTATGTTCGTTCCACGGCATAGATTTTTTTTTTTAACCAAGTATATCTTTATTTTAATAACAGGCCGAGGACTAAAAACACTTTCGAGAAGGGCTATTTTTCTACCTCAGCAAAACTACAGAGGAGAGGCTCGATGGCTGGATGACCCATCCCTGAGTTCATTTTATTTCAAAGATCTTAAACCCTAAAAAAAAAAAAAAGAAAGAAAAGAAAGAAAGAAAAAGAAAAGAAAAAGTGGAATGGGAGAGGGAAACACCATCTTTCCTCTTTGGAAGCAATGACTCCTCCCTACAAGCATACGGGTACCTATCCTTGGTTAAAAGGAATGTAACATTTGCTCTATTTTTCCCATGTCCACACCACGTCTCTCTGTTTCTAAGTATCTGATGCATTTCAATCTGTCAATATCTCTACCCTTTCATATCCGTGCTCCTTTCAAACAGAAAGGTGTGTCTCTACAACTGCTAGTATGCTGACTATCCCCAACCAGAAAAGGAAATGATCCCATGTAGTCACTCAGACAATGTTCCCGCTCAGGGAGACCTGCCACCAATACTGATCACTTTTGCTCTCCGACGTGAGGCCATCAGTATGTGGAGAATAATCATTTTTTGTCTCCTTGCAACAAGATAGCTATATTCTTGAAAGGGTTGCCTGACAGCAGAAAGAATAGGTCTACGTCCAGTCAACCAGTCCTAAGAGAGCTTTAACAGACGATTCTTTAGCAAAATTAAATGACATGAAAAATGATTTCTTTCCCCCTTCCCTCCCCCCCTCCACAAAAAAAAAAAAAATCACTAAAAGATATTCTCAGTGTTTAAACATTTCCCCCTGAAATCTAGAACACCGAACCCCACTCCAAGCATCAGAAGTCACAGGAACATGAAAAATCTCAAAAGAGATGTCTGATGTTCCGTGCCTGCTATCAGCAAAGACACCATCTGGTAGACTCCGGCACTGTTCACTCCGTTTAAGTGAAGCTGTCTGGGAGTCCTTCCTGAATCCAAACAGTAAAAAATGAAACTGCTTCTGTGAACAATGCATGAGGCACACTCAATTAGTGCTCCTGCCGCCACTGGCCAGTGGCCCCACGCAGGGGGAGCGAGCCCGCCTGGCCCCGGGACTCGGTTGGCATCACTTTCAGTTTACGCTGTGGGCTGCTGCCTGGCTGAAGTGTTACAAGCAGCAGAGCACTGGAGGTACTTATGCTAATGGTGGGAGAAAGGATCATCTGATTCTCATTTTCGTCATCTTCTACATGTTCTTTGCCTTTTCGAAATCTTCAAATAGATCTGTAAGTCCTAATCACCAATTTTACAAATATAAATTTCCCCGCCATTAATCATCCTTTTTTTCCAAATCCTTATGGAGTGAATTACTAGCTGACAAGGCACGCCAGTTCGGGTAAGTGAATGTTACCCAGCAGGGATATAAAGCTGTCAACACCACCGTGCTCTTGCCTGCTCTAAACTCTCTCCTGGCCTTCATATGTTTTTTAAAGAGATATTAGCCTAGGTTTCCCCCCCCCCCTTCTTGAGGACCTTCTATAAAAGCCGACTGTCATACACATCTGAGCACGTATGTTTTATTGCATGCGTGCTTTAAAACACCGCTAAGATAAGAGCAAAGACATCCTAGAAAGGGTGGGAAAGACAGAGTAAAACTGACCTCTTTCTTATAGTCTTCTGAAGCTAACCACGTTGAAAACAAAACACGAACTTTTCAGTCCTCTATTGAAACACAACCACCTCAACTACTTAAAAGCCAGACACTAAAATAAATAAAATAAAGCAAAAGCCCCCCCCCCTTTCAAAAAGTAAAGAAATTAAAAAATAAAAAAAATTTACTATTGCAACCAATGCACTCAGAAACATTTATCCACTCATTGTTTATCAAAGCAGTAAGATAAACTGCCATTTTATCAATGAACAGTTAACAATAATTTCTGCTATTTTTAGGGGGGGGGGGGCTCCCTCTAACATCACTAAAGATTAACAAGTACATCCTCCCAAATTTTGAGCTCTATTTTTAAAACATATTATTATAGTCATTATTATAGCAACCTTTTCAACATTTACAAGACTGTAATATACCTGGAAATTGTAATAGCAATGCAGAGCTGTGTTTTTGTAGTTGTCTACACTTACTATATTGCTTCATAAAGAAAAATTTAAACAAAAAGAGGTAGGGGAATAGAAATATAATCTGCTTTTTATTTACACTACGTTCCAAAATATAAAGTCTTTCAAGTATAAAAACCTGCTAAATAGAAATATATTTTAAACATTTTTTAAATTTAGAATGTGCATTTTTAAAAGCCTTGCTTTTCTCCAATCTGTGCATGATTAAAAGTTACAAGAAAATGAAATTATTAACATTTCAATGCACATTTGGAAACTACTGTATATAAATGTAAATCCCTAACATAATCATTAACATTCAATAAGAAAACTTTGTATTATTGAAATTTTATGTTCTAGTTGTTACATTTTAAAGCTTTCTAAATTAAAATCTTTCCAACTTATTATGCTATACAGAGTAAAATTTTTCTTTTTTTAAAAAATCTTTAAAAATCCACCATGTGTAAACGATTTAAACCACTTAACTATTAAGTGTTATAAATGGTAATTGTTGAGACAAAATAATGTCATGTTTATTTTCAGTTTGGAAGCAGCTAGTAAGTCCTTTGCTATTACTAAATGAAGCTAACTCTCAGAAAAAGTGACAAAAGTAGTTTGTTGGAACAAATCTATTTATTCATCACCAGGATTTAATAAATTTACTTTATATCAAATTTATAATAAGTGGTCAAATGTGAATTATAGTCTCAGAAAATAAGAAAAGCAACTACTATCTTACACTAAAGATAGCCTTGGTTATCAAAATTAGGCAGTGTCTTTCACAGTTCAACATGATATAAATAAAGTTTGTTTTAAGGAAGCACAATTGTTAGCAATTATATTCAAAAATATTTAGAAACGTCTCTCAGTTTCAGAAAGAAACTAAAATTTCCAGTCTATGTTTTTTCTTTATGCATAAGGCCACTTTGAGAACAAATCCTCAAAGGATTTCTAAGTTTTTCAGTCAAACATTATCCATTACCAGCGAATATCATATCATCCAACATAGTTACTATATATTTTTCTTTCGTACATGCACATATTAAAAAAGGATATGAAAATTCAAAACTTATTGCTCCAGGCTCAAAACAGAACATTAATAAATACCACTTTTAAAAGTGGGTCACAGAGCTACAAGTTTTCTTTTGCTTCAGCAAAGGATGTTTTCAAGCCCTACAATGAAAGATGTGTGAGCTACCATGTATATTTTTAAAGCTTTAAAGATTGTGAGAATGAGTGCTTCTCCAGGGAGGTTAATATAAGGATCTAAAGCAAACCATCCTGAATGTCTCCCATGAAGATAGTCATAGCAAAATAAGTAAAAACAAAACCCTGTTCCTTTATTAAATGTCTGCATTTAACTCTTTAAAGGGGAGTGAACATGTTAAATAATTACTTCAAAATACATACTATGGTTATTTAGAACCTGGGGTTGGAGCTTATCACTAAGTTTTGCCAGGGTTTTGTAACCTTACAACAAACTAATATAAAGGATTATATCAAATAGGCTACTGCTGAAAATTCTTAGGACAAAGAAAAACTTTAGAAACCAAAAAGTTAAAAGTCCTTTATCCCAAACACAATAAAATTGCATACCATGAAGAAATACGCATTTTTTTAAAAATGGCAAATGGCATATAAATCTCAAAATTTCTGAGTAATGTATCAATTCCTTGCACAGCTTTATTTTATAAAATTACTTTTCCTAACCACTTTAAAATAAAGTAGCTGTTTGAGTAGTAAAAAATAAAACTAAAAACACACCTACAAAAGATCATGTTTAATACTATTGAATTCCTGGAAAGGAAATAAGGCTACCATGCTATGTTACCTATTGTGCTATCATTCCTAATGAAGTTACAAACGCATAGGACTGCAAATGCTATAGGAAACAGTAGCCTTGAAGCCGCTCAGGGCCTGACAGATGCCTGGTTCTTGATTTCACACTTGAAATGGGGCAGGGAAGACCTGAGCTGTGCCTCCTCCAGGATAGCCAAGCCCTGTCCTGACTGCAAGGTAACTGACAACCCTCCTGCTCCTGCTCCCCATCCTGCCCTGGACAGAGCAAGGAACGCTCCTGCACCCAGAGCCAAGGTACCTGCACTTCATCCCTACACCAGACACTGCGAGGCCGGCAACCGAGTGAACTCCCCACCAAGCTCTCTAGGAAAATCTAGAAGCAGCGAGCTGGCTGTGACATAAACCTGCCAACACCTCGGCGGGCGCACAGTGAGTGGCAACGTGCCCAACACATGCCATCCCCCGGGGGAGCCGCGATCCGGTCTGAACTGGAGGTGAAGCTTCCCTTCACCCAGGAGAGGCCACGGGGGGCCTTATCTGGGGCCGGGCATCCACTTCCTGAAACCCTACACCGTCTGTCCTGCCCCGCGATGCACCTGAACCCCGACACCGGCCCGGCCCCGCGCCGCCGCCTGCGCGCCCCCCGCGCCGGGCGTTACCTCCCAGGGCCTTGGCCACGGCGCCGTTGGGCCTCCCGCGGGCCCCCATGGGGCTGCCGTTCTGCTCCAGCCGCGCCGCCTTGGCCGGGGGCGGCCCCTTGACGTCGGGGCTGCCGCTGCGCCGGTCGGGGCTGTCCCGCAGGCACGGGCTCTCGCTCCGCCGCTCCATGCCGCTCCGGCTCGGAGACGAAGTGGCCGCCGGCGGGTCGCAATAAAGCGCGCGGGGACCTAGGGAGGGGGCGGGGGAGGGGCGGGGAGGGAGAGAAAAAGAGGGAGAACCGCTCACACACGTGATAGACGCTCAGGCCAGTGGCGGGGCGCCGCCACCCCGGCTTCCTCCCACGCCGCCCGCCCGCCCTGAGCCTCCCCGCCCCGCGCCCCGGAGCCCCCGCTGCGCCCCGCGGGCCGCGCCCCCGCCCCGCCGCTGCTTCCCGGGGCTCATCCCGTCCATCGGGGCCCGCGCCCAGGAGCAGCGGCGGCGGCCGGCCCATGGGGCAGACAGGTTGGCACACACCGTGCCCGGCCGCCCGGGTGCGGGGCCTCGCCATCAGGGTCTGGGATGGTGGGAAAAGGGAACTTCACACACAGGCGCCCCCCGCTCGCTGGGGGATGAGGTGCGCACACGTCTATGGGAAACCGAAGGAACCCCGGGGTGAAGGCGCAGCTCCTGGCGGGCAGGAGCCCGAGGCCTGGCTGCGGGAGCCCCGGTCCCTGCCTTTTGCCTTGACCTCCTCGTCGGTCAGAGGCGCGCACACGCTTTGCACAAGATCAGCCCTAGTTCCACCATCAGAAGCAGCCAGAACCATGGGGAGGTAACCCATAACCCCAATCACCTTCCTCCCAAGGGCAGGGCTATGATGGTGGTTATGTTGGAACTTTCTGATCCTCATACGATCCTACGTGATTTTTTTTAAAAAAAAAGCTCTTCAGCATAAAATCCAAAAGCAAAAATAAATAAGAATAAAAAATAAACTAAAAGCTTTTAAATTATGAGTGCAGCCAGGACTAGCCTTGATCAACCCCCACGTCTAAATCTCTCCCCCAAAAAAGTTTTCCTCCGGGTCGCTGGACTGGCAGCGCTCCCCTCCGCAGGGAACCCACCGATATGGGCACCCCTGGATTTTTGGGGAGAAGGGCAGCTGAGGAGGAGGAGGAGGAGTTGGAGGAGGAGGAGGAGGAGGAGGAGGAGGAGGAGGAGGAGGAGGAGAGACACCTGATGAAATGGCACCACAGGGTCGCAACACCCCGGAGAAGCTGGAGCCGGAGCCGGCCCCGCGGAGCGCGCCGAGCGGCCATCCTCTCTCGGGCGCTCCGGCCGCGGGAGACGCCGCTCTGCCCGGCTCCGCACTGCCCGGCGGGGGTGGCCGGGGGCGGTGAGGGGGGACCAGCCGGGCGCAGGGACGGAGCCCGGGGGCTGCGGCCAGAGGCTGCGCCCGCACCCGCTCGGCTCCACCGACCCCGGGGCTGCGCGCGGCGGGAAGGGACGCGGAGCCGGGCGGGGGCTCCCCAGCTGCGGGCGCGGCGGGGAGCCGGGCCGGTACTTACTGCTCACGGTCTGCCTGCAGGGCGGCTGGCCGGCGCTCTGTCCATGGAGCAGAAGTAGCGAATCCAGGGTGGAAAGTTGCCGGGGCTACGCCGCGCCGTGCCCTCCCGGGCTTCCTTCCGCTCCCCCGTGCCCCTCGCCTCCGCCCCGGGCCCCGGCGCGCGCGGCCCCGGGTCAGGGTGCCTTCTAGCGCGGAGCCGGCGGTTATGATGAGGATGATGATTGGGGGGGAAGGAAGGGGAGGGGGAGGAGGAGAGGGGAGGAGGGTTCCTCCGGGGGGGGGGGGCGCCGAGCGAGTGGAGGAGGGGGCCGCAGAGGCGGGGAGGGGAGGGGAGGAGAGGCAGGAGAAGCCCTTCGCACCTCCGCACGGAGACCCGACCCGGAGAGAGCGGGCCGAGGACGGGAGACGGCGGAGGCGGCCCGGGCTGCCGCTCCCCCGGGCTGCCGGCTCGCGAGGACCGCGGCCCGAGCCGCGAGGGGCCGGTGCCCCCGGGAGCCGGGGCCGCGCCGCGCGGGAGGGACCGCGGCGGCCGCCCGCGCTGAGCTGTCACCTCCGGCCGCTCCGCTCCGGGCCGCCGCCGCCCGCCGCCGGAGCCAGACTCCCGGACCAGCCGCGGAGAGAGACAGGCGCGCGGAGAGGGAGATGGTTATTAGTTGCGTTGAGTCATCAGGCAAAGTGAGTCCTTTTGGGTTGTCCTCGGTTTCCGATTTCTCCCCCTCCCCCTCTCCGTCCCCAGATCCAGCGCCTTCCAAATAATAATTTGGGGCGGGGGCGGGGGACGTCTCGGGATGACTTCGGGATGGGGGCTGGGAGGGGGGAAAGATCGAATCCCGAGCCAGACGGGTCCTCCGCGGCGAGCGCGGGGAGTGGGGGGCGGGGAGGAGGGCCGGGGAGGTGGCCGGGGGAGGGGGGCCCCGCCTGGCAGGAAATTAAACATCAATCAATCAATCGCCAGGAGCCGAGCGACCCAGCGGCGGCCGGCGGGGCTGCGGCGGAGGTAGAAGGACCCGCGGAAGGCGGGCGGGAGGCCCGGGAGAGGGAGGAGGAGGAGGAGGAAGGGCAGAGGCGACAGTGGGAAAGCCCGCGGCGGGGACCGCGCGAGCGGGGCGGCGGGGGCTGAAGACTGAGAACCGAGTGCCGCGCGAGCGGCGGGTGCTCCCGGGCGCTGGGGCCCGCGGTCTGCTCCTCCTCCTCCTCCTCTTCCTCCTCCTCCTCCTCCACGCGGCGGGTCCGGGGTGCGGCTGCCTCTCCCAGCCCCAAGGCGCACTCGTCCCGGCGCGGAGGCGGCAGCGGCCAGGCTGGCGCTGGTGGCCCGGTCTCCCCGCGGAGGCGCAGACCTGCTCGCCGCCGGCGGTGGCCACGGCCACCCGGGCTCCGGGTCCTGTTCACTGCGCAGAGCACTTTCGACTTTGGAGATAGGAGGGCTATCGCCTCCTCCACCCACCGCCTCCTTCCACCACCCACCGCCTCCGCCCCTCGGAGCAACTTTTCTGGGTGCCCGCGAGCTCCCCGGCAGCGCGGAGCCGGCCGGCCGGGCCCGCTGCGCGCAGGGAAGGCCGCTGCGCCCTCAGAGCTGGCACGATCGCGGGTCCAGAACAATAGCGCGGGCGTCCCGAGCGGCAGGAGCGCTGGCAGTGCCCGCCGAGCCGCGGGTGGCACTGGAGACAGAGCTGCGTGGGGAGCGCAGCGCCGGGGGCATCCCTGGATGAAGTCCCGGGGGTGCTCGCAGCGCCGGCGACATCTCGATCGGTGCAGCCTGAGCCTCCCCCCGAAGGCCGTGCCGAGGTGGCAGCGAGGGTGACGGGGCCGCCTGTGCCCCCGGCTGCGGGGCTGGAACTCCGGGGACCGCCAGCGGCTCGGGCCCTGGGCTGCGAGCGCGGGCGCCGCTGGGCGGTGCGGACCCGGCCTCTCGGTTCCCCGGGGGCCGTGCGGGGGCGTCTGCAGCGGGTCCGGCGGAGCCGTCACTCTGCCCCAAACTTTTGCCGCTCGCCAGGGCGGCAGCTTCCCGCAGCCCGGCTCTGGCCGCCGCGCTCATTTAAGGTGGCACGGGCGTTCGCCAAGCCGGCCGGGCTCTGGCCGCGCTTTTGTCCCTGAGGTCCCGCTTGGGCGCGCAACCTCCTTAAGGAAAAGCACGTGGACAGCAGCCGCGGCCCCCCGCCAGGTGCCCGGGGCGCCGGCTGACACTCGAGGGCCGGGTTTGGGGCGGGATCCGTGGACGCTATCCCGCTGGCCTGGAAGCCGATGAAGACCCCTTCCCCTCCCCATCAGCTGGCCGCACCTTCCCTCCCTCCAGCACCCCTCGGCTCTCTCTCATCCCCAGGACCCGAGGACTCCCCGCACCCAGCTGCCCAGGCCACCGGTCCCCCTTAAGAAGTGCTGGCTGTACGGCGGCGCCAGAGGGCCAAACTAAATTCGGTTTCGAGAAACGCTCTCGGGATGATCCTGGAAAGGCTCCGCACCCGCGCACCCACCGCCAGGGAGTCTGGCAAGCCTAGTCCGGGGCCGTGCCATGCCAAGGTCCCCTCGTCGCACCACCCACCCGGTGGACTGCTTGCGCACGGCCATCCCCTAAAAAAGTAGGGGGAGAATCTGGAGCAGCAAGGACGGGGGAAGTGAAAGCTGCCCCGGGCCGGCCCGAGTCTCGGCGCCCAAATTCCGGAGAACCCCGCACCCAGGCGCCGCCCACCCCATTTCAAAGGAGCCCGAGGCGACTCCCGGGGCGTCCGGAGCCCTGCTGGGTTGGGACGCCGGCTGAGCCGCAAACCTGCGGGGGAGCCACCCTGGAAGTTCCAGGCAGCGCTTTCTTTTCCCATTTTTTAATTTTTATTTTATTCCTTAAATCTCACCCCAAACGCACCGGTTAGACAAAACGCACCGTTCACGTCGGCGAGGAAAAAACAAAACAAAACAAAACAAAAAAAAACGTGCTCCAGTAAATCTACTCCTGGTGGTAGCTGAGAGGGTGTGGGGGCTGCAAAGAAGCAAACTGTAAGTCAGATCGACAAACTTTTTTCTTTATGTATCCTACCTCGGCGGCAATGGGAAGGGGGTGTTGCAAAACCCAACCACCACGGTCCGAGTTTGAGCCTGTTTTCAAAATGGTGAAAGGCGCTTTTCTATTTAACATACCCAGGGCGAGAATAATGCGGCTTCTTTCCTTACCTGGGTATTGAACTGCGGGGTCCGCCTCTGGATCAAGGTCCAGGAACTCGGAAGAATTGGTGATAGTAGGTCTTCAGTGCTTCTGGGGAGGAAAAGAAACGCAAGTGGTTTAGCCAGGATCGTTCCTGTCTGATTCGTCACTATTATTATATCTGATGATGCGAATGGTTGGAGCGATTCGATCTTAAGTCATTAATGAGCTATTTTATAAATGCCACTGTTTGAAGATCATTTACATTTTGCGAAGGATCACTTCCCTAACCCCACAGGCTTATGTCAACAGCATGATTACAGGACTTCAGTTACACTTTTATAAACAACGCGCAGCCTTATTGTTAATCGGTTAATATTTTATAAAGTGTAAATATTTTATTATGTTTTGAAGGGAGCTATTGATTCTAAATTATTAAACCCCCGAGACGGGCGATTTAAATAAAGTATACAATTATGTACAATTAAATGT